TCTCTGCAAACAACTTCAGCAGGATGACTAGGAAGGTGGTAGTTGATGAAGCGAGACTCAGATCCCACTTCTGCCATCACTAGAGCAGGCTAATTCCCTTTCCTAAAGGGAAATTAAAATTTAAAATTGAATTTTTTTTTAATTGGGGATTCTTGGGGGCTGGAGAGATGACTCAGCGGTTAAGAACACTGACTGTTCTTGCAGAGCACCAGGGTTCAAATCCCAGCACCAACATGGCAGCTAACAACTGTCCGTAACTCCAGTCCCAAGGGATCCGACAGCCTCTTCTGTCCTCCACGGGCAATTCATGACACGGGTGCACTTGCCTACATGCAGGCAATACACGCAAACACATAAAAAAACAAAATATTTTTAAAAACAATAAAAAAAATTGGGGATTCTTATAGGCCATTTCATGTTCTAACCCTTGGACCAAACCAAGTCACCAGTTGGTTGGTATGAGAGAAAAATAGCTTCCAAAAGGAGGGGAGGACTGGAGAGATGGTTCAGTGGTTAAGAGCACTGGCTGATCTTGCAGAAGACCCAGGTTCAAATCCCAGCACCCACATGGCACTAATAACTGTCCATAACTCCTTTCCAAGGGATCCAATGTCCTCTTCTGTCCTCTGAGGGCATGCACAACATGGGTACACTTACATACATGCAGGCAGTACACTGTACACATAAAATGTAAATAAACAAATAAAAAATATTTTTTGGTCTTTTTGAGACAGGGTCTCCCTGTAGCCCCAGCTGTCCTGGAACTTACTATGTAGACCAGGCTGGCCTTGAACTCACAGAGATCCGCCTGCCTCTGCCTCCCGAGTGCTGGGATTAAAGGCGTGTGCCACCACCCTGGTATAAATAAGTTTTTAAAGAGAGAAATGGTGATCCCAGAAGCAGTCCAGGCGGTGTGTCCAAACCCGTGCCCACTTCGCTCTACTGGAGCACTGTCTACTCTTGGCCACAAGCAAGTCTGTGTTTCCCACGCTGCCCGGGACTATAAAAATTAGGAAGAATGTTTGCAGACCATAAGAATGAATTTAGCGGGGGGGTGGAGAAATGGTTCAATGGTTAAAAACACTTGCTGCTCTTCCAGAGGACCTGGGTTTGATTCCCAGCACCCACATAGCAGCTAACAACCATCCATAACTCCAGTTCCAGGGGACCTGACATCTTTTTCTGGCCTCTGTGCTGGCCTTGCACACACATGGTGCACTTATGTACATGCAGGAAAAACACTCAAATACATAAAATTTTTTAAAAATAGTAAATATTTTTTAAAGAATGAATTTAGGCCTGAGGATATATAGCACAGTGGTAGCCAAACATGCACACACAACTCTGGGTTCAAAATAGTACCACGAAATAAAAAGACTGTGCCATCCATTTACTTGGAAATTTCATGATTTCTTTGTCTTTACAGATGTGTAATATTCCATTGTGTATATGCGCCACATTTTCCTTAGCCATTCATCGGTTGATGGATACCTCCATTGATTCCATTTCCTAGCTATTGTGAATAAACTCACAACGAACACGGATGTTCAAGTATCTCTGTAGCATGAAATCTTCAGAGAATAAGAAAACTAAAATATTGTTTAACAAAAATAAGATAGAAGAGACTGTAGAGTGTGTGTCCCTGGATAGGACTCCGATATTAGACCTCATCCACCCAGGGCTCAGGGACATCTGAACAAGAGGGGACAGATAGATTGTAAGAGCTATGAGTGGTGCTTGACCATAAGGAAACAGAGCCTTATGGGTTTCTGGGACCTTGCTCTTATGAACTTACAGCAATGGTGTCAGCATGCACAAGACCCATGCAAACTCAATCAGACAAAAACACGGCATAGAACTGGGGAAATGGGCAGGAGGTCCCAACCTTAGCTGAGGAACTATTGGCAGCTGATTACTACTGGATGAGGGAGAGTTGGTCTTCTTTAAAGGAGTGACTCTAGATAGGCTGACCAGGCTCCAGTGGATGAACTCATACCAAGAGACATCTAGGTAAACAAACCTGACTTGTCAGGCCTTAACATATATGACAGAATGCATGAAATCCAGTGGGCAGACTATGGGGAGACACAGATAGAAGAGAGGGTCTAAATACAATTAAAATGTATTGTATGAAGTGCACAAAAATTCAGTGAAAATATACATTGAAAAAAATAAAAATAATACAGAGACCGTACACGAGAGTGGTTATACAAGGCGAATTCTACTTGACTGTCGACACGTAGATTGTTTCTTGCTCTGGTTGGTTCTGTGAATGCCCATTCCTTGGTGATTTAGACACAGTGAAGGCATTACTGCATTATCTATATATTATGTGACTAGACTTAATTGTATCTCATGTGTGTTTTTATCTGTGGATTTTTCTTTCTTAGCCAGGGTTTCAAATGTTTTGTCAATATTATCCACTAATGCTTTATGTTTTAGTGTTAGGCCCCATCCCGAGATCGTACCAACATGTAATTATTTATTCCTCTAATAGTCTCTCAGAGATCATTTGTAATAATCTATCCTTTCCTTAATAATTTAAAATACTAACCTTGTCATTTACAAAATTCTTACCAATACTTAAGTTCATTTCTGAAACGTCCGTCTGCTCTTGTGGTGCATGTCTGTTACTGTAAGAACAGTGAATTGGGGACTGAAGAGACTGCGCAGTGTTTAGGAACACTGGCTGTTCTTGCAGAAGACCCAGCTTCAAATCCCGGCACCCACATGGCCGCTAACAACTGTCCATAACTGCAGTTCCAGGGGATCTGACAGCCTCTTCTGTCCTCGGCGGGCATTGCATGACACAGGTGCACTTACCTACATGCAGGCAATACACGTATACACATAAATAATTTTTTAAAAAGGAAGCACGGTGAATTATCAACGTTAGCAGCACTGCTTTACTTCTCCGAGTGCAGGCTCTTTCTGAGTACTCATCTTTTCAAGGAATTTCTCAGACATTATCACTGGTCAGCTCTTTCACCTCAAAGAAGGACAGTTTGAGGACGGAATGTAGAATGTAGGTATTATCTCTTATGAAAATATTAGGGATCTCTAATTTTTTGTCACTACAAAAAATATATTTTTATATTATTTTAGAGACAGCATATTTATATTGAGTGCTTTCTACATCAAGGCCAATCATCTGATGTTGTCTATCCCTGGACCCTGTGTACTCAAAGTCAAGCAAAGGTCAAAGAGTAAAATTGCTACATTAAGAAGGACTTAACTTAGGTCTTAAAGAACCAGTAGAAATTAGAATTGCAGACAAGACTGGTGATCAGTCTCAGGTACACGAGACCGTTGGAGGAAAACCAGAGCAAGGAGCACCTAATCGATATGCTACAGAGCTAGTCTGTGCACCGACTTGAAAGAGGCTGGGCGCTCAGCTCGGCAGGGTGATGGAGGTGGATGCCCAACACAGTTCCACAGAGCGCTGTGCCTAGAGGGAGGCCCCACAAGTGGAGTTGAATGCATATGTTCACTCTCTTGAAATTCTTAGCAATTTTATGTTGGAATCTGTGTTTTGGAAGAGGTCCAACTAGGCAATCAAGCAAATGTCATGAGATTGGAATGTGGAGCTCTGTTCAGTCAACATAACCCCAGTGCTGTTGGGTGGGCAGAGACAGGAGGATCCATAGGGCTTGCTGACTGCCAGCCTAACTCCAGGTTCAGTGGGAGACCCTGTCTCAGGAGTAAATGGAAGGGAAAGTGCCAGAACAGGACACCCAACGCCCTCCTCTGGCCTCTGTGTGCATGCACATGTGTATATGCATACATACACACACACACTGTGCATGCACATACACCACACACATATACTATACATATATACATACACACCAAAAAATAAACACTTGGAAGGCAGAGGCAGGCAGTTCTCTGTGAGATCAAGACCAGCTTTGTCTCCAGGAGGACTGGGACTAGGGAGACCATGTCAAAAACAAACAAATAAATAACCACCATGACAGGTAGAGAGAGTCTGGGAAAGAAAACAAAAGGCTCTTTGCTTCCTTTTGAACATGAGGCCCCACATTTTCATTTTTTACTGGCCCACTGGCAGAACCAGACCTGAGTAAAACTGGACAGGTGGATTGGAGACAGGTAGGCAGGGCCCTGCTGCTGCCCAGCTCAGCCTGAGCTGTGTAAGCCAAGATTGGCACACTCTCTCTGTAAAGGGCCAGATGGCAATTGTTTTAGGCTGTATACCCATATGCTCTCAGATGCAATGACTGAACTCTGCCATTATCATGTAAAAGCAGAGATGATATAGAAGGTAATGTGTGGATCTGTGTTTCAATAAAACTTTATTTAAGAATAGACAGTGGGCTGGGTCTGATCTGCAGCTCGTGACTTGCCATCTCTCATTACAAACAAGGAATGGCTCCTAAAGGCATTTGAACAGCAGAAAGGCACAAAATCAGAGAATTCTCTAGAAGGTGAACTTGACTTCAGTGTCAAGAGTAGATGAGAGGGAGATCAGCCTAGAGGGTGTTCTGCAAGACAGTGTTGCTAAGCTCCAGTTCCAAGGAGCCAGAGACCAAGACTCAGTAGCAGCAGTAAATGTTGGAAAGGGAGATCAAGGCAACTCCACAGTGGCCACGATCACCGACCCAGCTTGCATGTTCTCTCCTACAGAAGAAAGAAAGAGCAAAAGGAGAGTTCGTACCACCTTCACCACAGAGCAGCTTCAGGAGCTGGAGAAACTCTTCCACTTCACCCACTACCCCGACATCCATGTCCGCACCCAGCTGGCCACCAGGATCAACCTGCCCGAAGCTCGGGTACAGGTACGGTGCCCACCCTCCACCCTAGTCTCACTCAGGGTGTTCACTCCAACTGAGATCTCCAGTCCAGGTTTTATCTCACAAGGACCATCATCACAGTCAAACATTACTTTCCAAAAAAAAAAAAAGAGATTACCCTTATTATAAGGGTTCTCGCCTTTCGGGTGGCCGTGGAGGGGACGTTGATGATCTCCATCTATCTCTGCCCCATTCCATCTCTCACAGCTTGTTCATATTTCAAAGTGTTACATTGTGGGTCATAATAATCAAGAACAGGGTCAACCAACTTTGTCCATTAAGAGGAGCCTCTTTGGGCTTTGAGGGACGTACAGTCTGTCAGAGCCACCATTTACCCTGCCATGGTGACCTAAAAGCAGCCACAGCCATTGCAGAACCAGGTGAGCATGGTGGCATTCCAAAAAACTTTATTTACAAACATTGAAAATTAAAGTTTTATATAATTTTTAGGTGTTATAAAATATTATTCTGATCCTTTTTTTATCCACCTTTTAAAAATGTGGAAAGGTGTTTATCTTAGTTCATGGGACACTGAAAAAAAATTTGGAAAGGTGGCTTTAGCTTGCAGGATACCGTTGGCCAGGCCAGATCTAGAGCACATTTGTGTCCCCTTGAAGGGAGAAAAGAGGTAGGCAGAGCCTGGGTCCGTGGTCAGAGGAGAGTGGGGGTCCAGCACCAACAGCCTAATCTACCATCTCTCATCTCTGCACCCCAGAATGTCCACTACTTTGTCCATGCTTGGAGACACAGTCACCTGTTGTACCTCTGCCCTCTTCAAACACTCCATTTTCGAGTCCCTGACTGGCATGGGAAGTTCTGCCAGGTCTGACTATAACATCATCGACACTCTCGCTGAAAAGTTTTCTATATTATTTTTTTAAAAAATATGCAGTGGGCTTGTTCTCATTCAAAATTGAAATGGGAGCCCAGGCCAACATGCCACTCTTTATCCAACCTCCTTTCCTTCTGGCTAAAGCCCAGTTCTGCCTTAACCAGCTTCCCTTTCTTCCCATTTGGAATCGTGCTCCAGCTGAGTGTTTAGCACCTGCGTCTGCCATCAAGCCTAGCATCTAACACCTGCCTCCCCAGAATCACCAAGTACAAATGGCCGCATGTCAGCGACCATCAGGGTTCCCATGAATGCAGGGATCTGCCAATGTTCAACCTATAGATGCCAAGTGGCCCACAGGGGTTGCAAACTGGTGGCCTGCCGGTGGAAAACAGCCCACAGATGGGTTTTATTTGGCCTACACAGTATTTGAAAGCTCGGAAGCTTTCACATAGAAAATCAAGATTTCCATATTGGAAACTGGATGAGTCTGAAATATAGGCATCAGTTTCCAGGTGGCAGCTGCTGGCAAGAGCAGAGACCTCTTTAGACTCTGCTCAGCGAATACCCTTCCCAATTATCACTCATGCAGGTCCTCTAGCCCCACCCGACTCCCACCCTTTATGTACTGTCAATTGTAATCCTGGTCCCTTCTCTGAGCACTCTGGATGCAAAACCCTGCACAACATGGCTTTATAAACTGTAGAGTACCTGTTAGTTGGGAGGTGTCACTGTTCTGCATCTTGGGAGGAGGTGCTAGATGGACAGCACATCTTTTACATGTCTCCATCCGCTTTCCCCTGACCACAGATCTGGTTCCAGAATCAGCGAGCCAAGTGGAGGAAGCAGGAAAAGATCAGCAGCCTTGGTGTCCTGCAGCAGCCTGAGGCCAGCTTAGCCCTGCCAGCAAAATTGGACATGGCTGTGAGTGGCCCACTCCTCAAGGGTGGCCTGGAGGGACCACGATCTTGGAGCATCCCAGCCAGGCTTAGATGTGAGGAAGCCCCCAGGGGTTGTGTCTCCAGTACCAAGTGCAATGGAAATCCTTCTAGAAATAGGGAGGTCAAGGAGGTGTCTGGAAGATGAGGCTCTGGGATAAGTGTCTGGCTCTCTGTTCCCTTAAGTGACAATCATAGTACCTCACAAAACAGAATCACAGGGTAAAGCATAGAAGAGTAGGCAGCTGGCTCTAAAGTCGACTGTCTGGGTTCACATCCCAGCTCAAATCCCACTACTGCAGCTTAACCTGGAAGTCACCTTGTCCCTCAGAGGTCAGTACTGAAGTTTTGGCAAGGATGAAATGACTTAAGACCTGGAAAATTCTTGGCACCTTAGAAGCACTTCCTAAATATTAGATGTCCACGGAGCCAACACAGTTTTAGGTGTGTAGCGGGAGCTCAAAGCAGTTTAAAAAAAAAAAAAAAAAAAAGCGGCCGGGGGTTAATGATTAAAACTGTGAAAATGTTTGGCACCTTAGAGACACCTCCCAAAAATTGAATGTCCCCGGGGCCAAACCAGTTTTAGGGGTGTAGGGGGGGCTCAAAGCAGTTTTAAAAAAAAAAAAAAAAAAAGCTGCCTGGGGTTATAGGATTTACACACCCCAGAGAGACCCAAAGGATGGTTTTTCCTAATGGAGCAAGGTGCTTTCCAGGCACATTGTGAGGGTTTGGACTAGATAGGTTGGCATGGGTTCACACAGGGCGTTAGGTGCTCAAAGTCCCTGCCAGGCAGGACAAACCAATCACACTACCCATCCTAAGTTGCTCAGCCATGGGAGCAGCTGGGAGGCTGAAGGGACAGTCCTAGGTAACGTTCAGAACTCATCAGTCCCCAATGATTTCTCCTGACAGGGTCCCCTGCTGACGCCCACTGCTTTGCCCATGCTGGCTCCTCCCACAGGGCACTACCCCCTCGTTCAGACTCAACTGGCTTCAGCCCGGTTGCCTGCACAGATCACCCTTGTCCCACAGCACCCATGGGAGCTGCAGCCCCTGCCCAGCCCTCTCACCCAGCAGACCTGCATCCCTGCCCTCTGCATCTTGCCACCTCCACACCCCAAGTGGGGCAGTGTCTGTGCCACTTCAACATAGGAACCAGACATCCTCTCCCAATGCGAGCTGCTCCCCACTCTTGGTACAGCAGGTGGCACATGGTGCAGCGGGCCTCAGGGAAAATCACTTCACAATCCAATGATGGCCCACAGCCCAGGAGGCTGCCCAGAACACGACATCAGAAGGCTGCACTGGCCACAGCAACCAGTCAACAGCAAAGGACAGCACCCGTCTCACTAGCCAAAGATGGTCTCCTGGTTCAGAAGTCTGGCTGCCTGAGAGCTGGGGACAAGTTCCAGAACAGGATGCTCTCCTCTTGCGCCCCTGCACTTTACCTGCCGTGCAACCTGCAGCTGGTCTCTTGCCCCCTCTGGACCTCATCTGTAACATAACAGCTGGAAAGATGATTTCTTTACATGGAGGAGGAGGAACAGAGGGGCTATGCATTTATGAGCCCATCTACACATTCCTTCCCGATGTGTTTATTGAGCACTGAGCACTATGCTCCTGGAACCAGACATAGAGCTGAACAACTCCAGGCTGCCCAGGTTGGGTGAAAGGCGGTACTACCTCTCCCTGCAAGCAGATGCCAGTGACCTGGCACTTGGTTCACATTTAGCACATTCTTTTATGACTTTGATATGAAAATCTCAAAATGGGAAAATAGAGGAAATTTTTAAAAATTTAAAAAAGAATGTAGTATCGTTGGTTATTCTGCTGGGTTGGGAAGGAACCTCATTCTTATTGGTATGATTGAAAGGTGACAGTGAGCTTTTTCCAGACCTTTGTCTTCCTAGGACATGTGCAAGGATCCAGCTAGAAAGTCTGCGTCACTGTTCTGGAAAGCCTGAGGTTTCCTTTGGCTCTTTCTTTTCTTGAAGGGAGACCCTGGGCAGGACCACATGCTCTGCCTGAGCCTCTACTTTGCGTAGGAAACTGTTTTCAGTAGGATGGAGGCAGCAACTCCCACCTAACACACAGAGTATCTAGGAGGCTCCAGGAGGAGGGGCGAGCACCTTGCAAAGTGCGAGGGCTGGGCAGATGCTGGAATGATTTTGGCATCCCACGCCTCACTGGGAAGGCCACTGCTTGGCAGCATCCCCAGTCCAACAGAGAACATCTCACTGCAAAGGCCACTACTTGAGGTCACGATACAGGGAAGAACAGGGTTCCCCCCATTAAGGGCTCTTAGTCTCATTCATAAAACAATTTGGATGGTTTCCATAATGTAGTGGTTATCACATTCACCTCACATAAAACAATTTAAGAATGGACTCAAACAGAAGCATTAGGACAATTTCGTTCAAATTTTAAGGAAAATTCTCAGGGCAGGCAAGCTGTGAATCTCAGCAGCTGCCTTGGGAGGAAAAAGGAGGGAAGAAGAAAAAACTGCCTTGAAGACACGTGGGTTTGAAGTCAGCATGGAGATCAGGTACGTGGCAGACTAACAAGCAGATAGCAGGGAGAGGAAAGGAGTTTTAGAGGAAAAGAAATCCAAGATGTTGGGGCAGCCCAAAGTGTTAGGGAAAGTAGGCTTAAAGAGAGATAGAAGCCAGGCGTGGTGGCACACACTTTTAATCCCAGCACTCAGGAGGCAGAGACAGGTGGATCTCTGTGAGTTCGGCCAGCTGA